GAGGATCAGGTTTTCTACTGATAAAAGAGACGCTTGTTGAGAGAACAGCCCACTTTCAACTTCTTTAAGACTTGACAAAGAAAATCGTTTTAAATATACAGAGGGTTTAAACAAACAAAACATACGAAAGCATTTCCATGACTTTCCGCCTGGAGTTCCAGGTCGTTGCCGTGGTTAGTGCCGTCAGGTGGGGACTCCGCAACAGAAGGTAACGCTGCGCCGTCCGTCCTCACAATTGTTCTTACGTTTGTGTTCAAATAGGAATGTTCATGGAAGGGCAACTGACTCCTCTCTTCACGTTTCCCGCCGTGTGCTCAGCCATCCGCATCTTGGGGTGGGGGCACCCAGGTGCAACACATTGGTAACTGTTTAGGATAGGATTATCATCTTGTTGACCATAATCTGGTGTACTAAGGAAATTTTTTTTCCAAAAAGGAGAAGCAAGTATCCCATTCCTTGAAATTTGCTAAATTAAAAAAGCCAATTAAATAATTCCTAAAACAATACACCGTAACGTGGTATCACTGTGTTCTTTGTTTTGCGCACATATTGTCAAGTTGTCAAGAAGAACTCTTACAAATACACATAAATAGCATAGGAAATATGTGTTTATTATAGTTATACATGATTTTCTCAGAAAAAAGGACCAATGTTGGTAAAGGGAAAATCTTTAAGACAAAATTGCTGTGAGGCAAACATTGCTCTGTACCAGATTGTCACATCTGATCTTGGTAAAGTTGGTATTTTCTTAATGGTTTATGAAATCTAAAAAAGGGGGGAGGTGAGTGGGAAATACATTTAAAAAGCAGTTTTACTGAGATAGTTCACACCTCACACACTTCATCCAATCTGTACCGTTCATTTAATATGTACAACAAAGATCTGTGCTACGTTACAGTCAATTTTAGAACAGTTTTATTAGTTAGAAAATAAACCTGTAAATAAAACTAAGCTCACTTCTCCCTCTCTCTCTCTCCTCACAGCACTCCTAAACAATTATTAATCTATTTTCTGTCCATATATTTGCTTGTTTGGGGTATTTATTTATTATTAAAAACCCAACCCACTGTCATTGAGTCAATTCTGACGCACAGTAACTCAATGCAGGGTTTCTGCGATTGTACATATTTATGGGAGAGCAGATAGCTTCACCTTTCTCTCTAGGAGCGGATGGTGAGTTTGAACCTCCAAGCTTGTGGTTAGCAGCCTACTTCCTAAGGCACAGTGGCCGGAAGGATCATCAACCTGGTGGTCTTTTGTGACTAGATTATTTCCCTTCCCGTCAAGCGTCAAGGCTCACTCACATAAGAGTGCCATATAGCTCCTCCCTGCTACACACTATTTCTTGTGTATTAACATTTTGAATTCTTGTGGTATATTTGATACAATTGAGAAACCATTATTAACATATCATTATGAACTAAAGTTTATGGTCTATATTACATTCAGAATTTATGTTATACATA